CACGCCCAGCACGGGCCCCCATGGTGCTCACCCCACGCCCAGCACGGTGCTCACCCCACGCCCAGCACGGGCCCCCATGGTGCTCACCCCACGCCAGCACGGGGCCCCATGGTGCTCACCCCACGCCAGCACGGGGCCCCATGGTGCTCACCCCACGCCCAGCACGGGCCCCCATGGTGCTCACCCCACGCCCAGCACGGGGCCCCATGGTGCTCACCCCACGCCCAGCACAGGCCCCCATGGTGCTCACCCCACGCCAGCACGGGACCCCATGGTGTTCACCCCATGCCCAGCATGGGGCCCCATGGTGCTCACCCCACGCCCAGCACGGGCCCCCATGGTGCTCACCCCACGCCCAGCACAGGCCCCCATGGTGCTCACCCCACGCCAGCACGGGACCCCATGGTGTTCACCCCATGCCCAGCACGGGCCCCATGGTGCTCACCCCACGCCCAGCACGGGGCTCCATGGTGCTCACCCCACGCCCAGCACAGGGCCCCGGGTCAGGACTCACCTGGACGCCAGGGGGCCCGGGGCGCCCATCCCTCCCAGGCACGCCAGGAAGGCCAGCTGGTCCTGGCACATGTGAGCTGTTGACTCCAAAGTGGCCTGGCTCTCCTGGCAGGCCCGGGACGCCGGGGGGTCCTGGGGGGCCTGGGAAGCCTCGGGGACCCTGGACACAGAGACACGGTACTGACCCTCCTCCCGCCTGCTTTGCCCAAGGCCTCATGCACCCCGGGGTGCGGCCGTGGCCACTTACCCTGAGTGGCTCTAGATCCCCACTGAAGCCGGAGCCCTCCATGTCGATGAACGTCTAAGGAGGGAGATGGGGCTGTGAGGAGCACGCTGGCTGTCCCCGAGCGCCGGGCGCTCTGCCAGCTGGGCCCCGACTCCTGCCCCACATGCTGGGCGCTCACAAGAGTAAAGGCACGGGGCAGGGCTCCCCGTGTCCCCAGATGGGCTGAAAGACACTGGGTGGGGGGCCCCACAGGCCCGAAGCCCCCCGGGGTCTGTCCCAGAACGGGAGGGGGCAGGTGGACTCACCAGCTTGTCCTGTCTGAAGGGGGGTCCCGGAGGCCCAGGAGGTCCTTGGGGTCCAGGAGGTCCTCTTGGTCCAACGCCGGGGTCTCCCTGCGACAGACAGCCCTGTCACATGGGCACACGCTGCCTGCCTGGGCCTGGGCGGCCTACCACCACCAGCCACACTCACCTTCTCACCCTTGGGGCCGACATCTCCTGGGGTCCCCGGGAAGCCCTGTGGCCCCGCGTCCCCCTGGAGGACAAGAGCAGGGGCTAGGCTGGGAGAAGCACCCCTCTCTCCTGGTACAGCCCAGCCTGGGTTCCCCAGTGCAGGCACAGGGGGAAGGCTGTACAGGGGTCTGGATGGCCGGTGACCTGCGGCCACAGGGCCTGGCGTGAAAGATGCCACGCAGCTGTGGAGGCTCCGAGACCGCGTAACCGTGCCCAGGGCTCCCGTGTGCTGCCCCACCAGAGCTCAGCTATGACACAGCCCTCTGCAGACAGTGCTGCTCTGCCTGTGTGTGCATGTGTGTGCCTACGGCTCAAGCGTGTACCTGTGTCTGTACGTGGGTACACTCATGGTGCACACACGTGGACTTGTGTAGTGACTGCGCTCTGGCAAACTCTCGATGCAGTCTTGTGGGCAGCTCTGTCTCCAAGTCCCATCGCCCCGGGCGGGCACTGTGGCCAGCGTGGGGAGCCCTGTCTGCCCGGCGCGCCTGGACCTTCCAGCTTCCCGCTGGCTGCTCCCCCTCCCCCCAGGGTGTGTCAGGCACTTCGCCTGACCCTCCCGGTGCAGCCACAGCCGCCCCCCAGCCATTGGACTTGAGTTTCTTAGTGGAGGGGCTGCATTGGCCAGGGCCTGGGCCCAGGGTCCTAGCAAACACAAGCCCAGCCCAGAAGGAAAAGCAAACTTACAGGCTTTCCGTCTTCCCCAGGGTCGCCCTGGAATTTGTAAGAGAAACCATTAGAGCAGAGGACTAGCCGTGACCACGCGAGAGGCGACCAGCCCACCCGGCCCCCAAGCCCCAGAGCCCACACAGAGGGCTGCACCTCCATTCCAGCCCTCCCAGCTCTACACCCAGGTGGAGGGCCAGTGCTGGCCTCCGGGTCTGAGAATGGGGACACACAGCGCACCCCCCACCCTGCCATGGCCCCCAGCACCAGACTGGACCAGACCGCCGTGGGAACCGGGGTACTCACGGGCTTGCCATCCTGTCCTGGGGAGCCATCCTTCCCTGGGGGTCCCGGGGGTCCCGGGGGTCCTTGTGCCACAGGGACATGTTGAAGGTCAGAGCCCTGCACCACTAGGCCAGGGCCCGGAACACCAGACTCCTCTTTCTGCCTGCTCAGGACTCCCTGGGGAAGGGAATGAGGAGACGCTGGGGTGACCCCTCCATCTCCTGCTGCCTGCACTGACCCTGAGGGACAGGCGGGGCGGACACGCAGACAACACACAGAGAGACAGGCAGAGGGACAGGCAGGACGGACATGCAGACGACACGCAGAGAGACAGGCAGAGGACATGCAGAGGACACGCAGAGAGACAGGCAGAGGACATGCAGAGGACACGCAGAGAGACAGGCAGAAGACATGCAGAGGACACACAGAGAGACAGGCAGAGGGACAGGTAGGACGGACACGCAGAGAGACAGGCAGAGGACATGCAGAGGACACACAGAGAGACAGGCAGAGGGACAGGCAGGACGGACACGCAGAGGACATGCAGAGAACACGCAGAGGGACTGGTGGGGAGGACACACAGAGGACATGCAGAGGACACACAGAGGACACGCAGAGGGACAGGCAGGGTGGACATGCAGAGGACACGCAGAGGGACAGGCAGGGTGGACATGCAGAGGACACGCAGAGGGACTGGTGCGGAGGACACGCAGAGGACATGCAGAAGACACACAGAGGACACGCAGAGGGACTGGTGGGGAGGACACACAGAGGACACGCAGAGGGACTGGTGGGGAGGACATGCAGAGGACACACAGAGGACACGCAGAGGGACTGGTGGGGAGGACATGCAGAGGACACACAGAGGACACGCAGAGGACGCAGAGGGACTGGCAGGCACAGGGAGGGGACAGGGCCTGAGGGGCTTTGCTGGGGTCACAGTGAGGAGAGGGGTGGGGCGGGGTGGGCTGGGGGTGGGGGAGGGGGCTGAGAGAGGTCTCACCGTCTCCAGGCCGCCTTCAGGGCTCTGGACACCTCTGTCCCACACCCCAGCTGATTCTGAGTCAGGAAGGGTTGGAGCTGTTCAAACAGAAGGGCCCTTGTCACCGAGTGACCCAGGCTCTGCTCTGGGTGTGCTGTCCTGTCCCAGGCTGTCCCCACCAAGTGCCCTGGGCAGGGGCAGTGACTTCAGTGACCAGGGCAGGTGTGCAGAAGATTTAAAGTTAATACACAGCCCTGTGGTTATCCTAAGCAAGCCAGCGATGCAGAAACCTTCCAGAAGATTCTTCATGGGTTTAACAGAACTTGGGTGATCAGGATGCCTTCTGTTCCCTTTCCAGTATATAATCTGAACACGGAACACGGACAGAAACCCCAGGCGTGGCTGTGGGCCAGCACCGATCTCACACCTCGTGGCTCCCCCCTCCCCCTCCCCTCTGAAGGCCTCCTCCCTGTGCACCCCAGGGTCACCAACACGGGCCCCCGTCCTCGGCCATGCCAGGCGTCCCCATGGCTTTCCTGCCCCAGGGTCACACATGGCTTCGGTTCTGTCTCCTTCCACGTGCTTCTGGGCTGAGCAAGCCCTGCCATGGCCCGGCGTCGCTCCCTCTGCTGTCTGTCTGTCTGTCTGCTGTGGCCCTGTGTTGGCTCCCTCAGCTGTCTGTCTGTCTGCCACGGCCCGGCGTCGCTCCCTCAGCTGTCTGTCTGTCTGTCTGCCGCGGCCCGGCATTGGCCCCTCAGCTGTCTGTCTGTCTGTTTGCCATGGCCTGACGTCGGCTCCCTCAGCTGTCTGTCTGTCTGCCGTGGCCCGGCGTCGCTCCCTCAACTGTCTGTCTGTCTGTCTGTCGCGGCCCGGCGTCGCTCCCTCTGCTGTCTGTCTGTCTGTCTGCTGCGGCCCGGCGTCGCTCCCTCAGCTGTCTGTCTGTCTGTCTGCCGCGGCCTGGCGTTGGCCCCTCAGCTGTCTGTCTGTCTGTCTGCCATGGCCTGACGTCGGCTCCCTCAGCTGTCTGTCTGTCTGTCTGTCTGCCATGGCCTGACGTCGGCTCCCTCAGCTGTCTGTCTGTCTGCTGTGGCCCAGTGTTGGCCCCTCTGCTGTCTGTCTGTCTGCCGCGGCCCGGCGTCGCTCCCTCAGCTGTCTGTCTGTCTGTCTGCCGTGGCCCGGCGTTGGCTCCCTCAGCTGTCTGTCTGTCTGCTGTGGCCCTGTGTTGGCTCCCTCCACTGTTTGTCTGTCTGCTGTGGCCCGGCGTTGGCCCCTCCGCTGTCTCCTGTTGTCAGACAGCCTCTGAGCTAACATGTCTCCAGATTTGTAAACCCAAGGCAAGGCTAAGGATGACAGCCATGAGCAGGTCTCAGAGCCGAGGCGGGGTGCGGCGGACCCCACCTGGGCGACCCCTCCCCGGCTTATCTGGGGCTCAGGGTCAGGGCGGACGCCCGGCAGGCCCACGGGCCACTCCTCCCTGCAAGGGCCCGGCCGTGGGGTGTGGGCTGAGGAGTGGGGTTGGGAGGCCTGATGCCTCCTGCCCTGCCCTGCCTCACACGCCCATGCCAGGAGACAGGACACCACATGGTGGGTGGTGTCACCATCCCTGGGGACCTGTGGGGCTCCCCATTCCAGGGAGCTGTTGGGAGGAGCGTGTTGGTGGGGTCAGAAGACTTTAGCTGAACATGTGTGCCAGCCAACGGGGGGGGGCGGCTACACAGGCCACATGCCTGCTGTGCGTGTGCGCATGGCTCTCGCAAGATCTCATGGACGCGCGTGTGCACACGGCTCTCGCGTGAGCTCATGGATGTGCGTGTGCACACGGCCCTTGCGTGAGCTCACGGACGCGCGTGTGTGCACGGCTCTTGTGTGAGCTCACGGACGTGCGTGTGCGCACGGCTCTTTCATGAGCTCATGGATGTGCGTGTGCGCACGGCTCTCGCGTGAGCTCATGGATGTGCGTGTGCACACGGCTCTCGCGTGAGCTCACGGATGTGCGTGTGCACACAGCCCTCGCGTGAGCTCACGGACGTGCGTGTGCGCACAGCTCTCGCGTGAGCTCATGGATGTGCGTGTGCGCACAGCTCTCGCATGAGCTCACGGACGTGCGTGTGAGCACAGCTCTCGCGTGAGCTCATGGATGTGCGTGTGTGCACAGCTCTCGCATGAGCTCACGGACGTGCGTGTGAGCACGGCTCTCGCGTGAGCTCACGGATGTGCGTGTGCACACGGCTCTCGCGTGAGCTCACGGATGTGCGTGTGCACACAGCCTTCGTGTGAGCTCACGGATGTGCGTGTGCGCACAGCTCTCGCGTGAGCTCATGGATGTGCGTGTGCGCACGGCTCTCGCATGAGCTCATGGACGTGTGTGCACACGGCTCTCGCATGAGCTCATGGACATGCGTGTGCACACGGCTCTCGCGTGAGCTCATGGATGTGCGTGTGCACACGGCTCTCGCGTGAGCTCATGGATGTGCGTGTGCACACGGCCCTCATGTGAGCTCATGGACATGCGTGTGCACACGGCCCTCACGTGAGCTCACAGACGCGCGTGTGCGCACGGCTCTCGCGTGAGCTCACGGACGCGCGTGTGTGCACGGCTCTCGCGTGAGCTCATGGACGCGCGTGTGTGCACGGCTCTCGCGTGAGCTCACGGACGTGCGTGTGCGCACGGCTCTCGCATGAGCTCATGGACGTGCGTGTGTGCACGGCTCTCGCGTGAGCTCACGGACGCACGTGTGCGCATGGCTCTCAGGTGTGCTCACGGACGCGCGTGTGTGCACGGCTCTCGCATGAGCTCATGGACATGCGTGTGCACACGGCTCTCGCGTGAGCTCACAGATGGGCATGTGCGCACGGCTCTCGCGTGAGCTCACGGACGCGCGTGTGTGCGCACGGCTCTCGCGTGAGCTCATGGACGTGCGTGTGTGCACGGCTCTCGCGTGAGCTCACGGACGCGCGTGTGTGCACGGCTCTCGCGTGAGCTCACGGACGTGCGTGTGCGCACGGCTCTCGCGTGAGCTCATGGACATGCGTGTGCGCACGGCTCTTGCGTGAGCTCACGGACGTGCGTGTGCGCATGGCTCTCAGGTGTGCTCACGGATGTGCGTGTGTGCATGGCTCTCGCGTGAGCTCACAGACGAGCGTGTGCGCACAGCTCTCGCGTGAGCTCATGGATGTGCGTGTGAGCACGGCTCTCGCGTGAGCTCACGGACGTGCGTGTGCGTACGGCTCTCGCATGAGCTCATGGACATGCGTGTGCACACGGCTCTTGCGTGAGCTCATGGACGTGCGTGTGCGCATGGCTCTCACGTGAGCTCACAGATGGGCATGTGCGCACGGCTCTCGCGTGAGCTCACGGACGTGTGTGTGCGCACGGCTCTCGCATGAGCTCATGGACATGCGTATGCGCACGGCTCTTGCGTGAGCTCATGGACGTGCGTGTGCGCATGGCTCTCAGGTGTGCTCACGGACGTGCGTGTGTGCACGGCTCTCGCGTGAGCTCACGGACGTGCGTGTGTGCACGGCTCTCGCGTGAGCTCACGGACGTGCGTGTGCTCATGGCTCCGTGTGTGCTCACAGCTCTGTGAGACACTTGCCTCCATTTCCAAAAGCAACTGAATCCAAATGTACTTCTGGCCTGAGGCCACTGTAGAGCAATGATTGGCCCTGCCCTGACCCCCTGCTCACCAACACCGGACCCATCACCACCAGCCCTGCCCTGACCTCTGCTCACCACCGCCAGACCCCACACAGCTGGGCTGGACAGCCCACTGCCACCAGCCCTGCCCTGCCCAGCAGCACCTCGGCCAACCCCATCCAAGCCGCATCCGCCAGCAGAGGGCAGCAGGGTCCTCCTGAGAAGGCCTGAGTGGTGGTGCATTTCAAAGCCCTGCCTGGAGGCCAGGCAAAACTGCACAGACACAGCTACAGACACCTGAGAAAAACCAAAGCCTCTTCTAGGCCGGAGACTCCACACAGGTGTCAACGCCCCCATTCACACTAGGCTTCTGCTCTTCTGCTTTCTCTATGGATGTGCACAGGGCCTGGGCACCCAAGAACAGTTCTGGAGGAAGAGACTGCCCAGTCCCTGGTTGTAGTAAATGTTCAGGACAGCGGTCGGCGACATTGCCATGCAGATAGCAGAGCCACAGGAGAGAAAACAGCCCAGGAAGAGATACAGTATGCACAAGTAACCTTCACAGGCACAAGGCAGCTCAGACAAAGAAAGGCGGCCTTTCTGATACACAGCAAGGAAAAACTGGCCTATGTAGCAAAATAACAACAACAGCAGCAGCAACAATAATAGTAACAATAATTTTTAACATGTTGGGGCTTGAACTCAGGGCCTGGGCACTGTCTCATGCTTCATGCTCAAGGCTAGCCTCTACCACTCTACTGCTTCTGGCCTTTGGGTATTGGAAATCAGTGTCTCATGGGCTTTCCTTCTGGGGTTGGCTTGAATCCTGATTCTCAGATGTCAGCCTTCTGAGTAGCTAGGATTACAGGCATGAGCCACCGGCACCCAGCAGCAAAAATAAAATAAGATTTAACAGTAAAATCAATGAATCAGAATGGATCAAAGACCTGAATGCAAATCCTGTAGGTAAAAACTAGGGAGTGAGGACTGAAGGTTAGTGACTCTGGGCTGGGCACTAGTCTTAGACATCGAACGAGATTAGTGAAGTGAGTTGGGTGAATTTCAGAGCTAAATGCTGCTTTTCTAAGATACGGTTAGGGAAACAAGGAGTCTGGGCCTGGTGGAGGAGGCAGATGCATGGTGACCTCACGACAGGCCAGCCGGGCTGGGCAGTCAGACCATGTCTGGAGCGAGAGGACATGCAGACTGAGAAACGTGCGAAGCGCAGTCCGATAAAGGATTCACGCCAGAATACATCAAGAACTCTTGAAACCCAACAACAGGAAAACACAGCCCGTTAGAAAAGCAGCCAAAGATCTGGACACTTCACTAAAGCAGACGGACACAGACATACAGGAAGGGGCCTGGCACCACCGTACATTATGGAAATGGACACCAAGCCACCAGCAGAGGTCATCCCACACCTGCAAAGGCCATCATAAATGGAGGCTGGCCAGCGTGGGGCGTGGAGGAGCTGGGGTCCCACTTGGGAGGGGTGCCGAACGCCAGCTGTCTGGGCAGAGCCCCTGCCTCAGCACCAGGCCCCACCAGGAAGCTGGGTCCTCCAACCCCAGGGCAAGCTGGACACAGCCCAGATGCCCCGACAGCTGAGAGGACAGACACACCGGTCAGCTAGGAGGATGAACACACTGGTCAGCGGGGAGGATGGACACTGGTCAGCGGGGAGGATGGACACACTGGTCAGCGGGGAGGACGGACACACTGGTCAGCGGGGAGGATAGACACACTGGTCAGCAGGGAGGATGGACACACTGGTCAGCGGGGAGGACGGACACACTGGTCAGCGGGGAGGACGGACACACTGGTCAGCAGGGAGGATGGACACACTGGTCAGCGGGGAGGACGGACACATTTGTCAGTGGGGAGGACGGACACACTGGTCAGCAGGGAGGATGGACACACTGGTCAGTGGGGAGGACGGACACACTGGTCAGCGGGGATGATGGACACATTGGTCAGCGGGGAGGACGGACACACTGGTCAGCGGGGAGGATGGACACACTGGTCAGTGGGGAGGACGGACACACTGGTCAGTGGGGACGGACACACTGGTCAGCTGGGAGGATGGACACACTGGTCAGCGGGGAGGACGGGCACACTGGTCAGGGGGGAGGACGGACACACTGGTCAGCGGGGAGGATGGACACACTGGTCAGCGGGGAGGATGGACACATTGGTCAGCTGGGAGGATGGACACACTGGTCAGCGGGGAGGATGGACACATTGGTCAGCTGGGAGGACAGACACACTGGTCAGTGGGGAGGACGGACACACTGGTCAGTGGGGAGGATGGACACACTGGTCAGCGGGGAGGACGGACACACTGGTCAGCGGGGCGGATGGACACATTGGTCAGCTGGGAGGATAGACAAACTGGTCAGCGGGGAGGATGGACACACTGGTCAGCGGGGAGGATGGACACTGGTCAGCGGGGAGGACGGACACACTGGTCAGCGGGGAGGACGGACACATTGGTCAGCGGAGAGGACGGACACACTGGTCAACTGGGAGGATGGACACACTGGTCAGCGGGGAGGATGGACAGACCAGTCAGCTGGAAGGACGGACACACTGGTCAGCGTACGCAGTGGCATGTGGCTGAATTACTGGCAAACTATGACGTGGATGAATCTTAAATGAGCTGCAGAGCCAACCCTCCAGCAATGTGTTTGGTGAAATCCTAGGAAAGGCCACTGCTTGTGGCGCCAGCAAGGGGACCAGGGGTGCGGTGCGGGAGGGGCGACGAAGGGCCGGAGAGGCCCCAGGGTGTGGACGTGTGCCTGTCTGAGCATGAGGCTGGGTGACCTGAGGCCACGGCCAGCCGTGTCCACTCCTGCCTCTGAGGGGACACTTTGCCCACTCAGGGGCGGAGTTGGTAAGCGTCTCCAAGAAGCTGAGTGGTTCCATGCTCAAAGCCTGCAGGAGGTAGGCACCTGGGTGGATGGGCACAAGGAACTGAGCTGTCCGCAAGCCTCCGCGCACGCCCCCGACCCACAGGCCTGGCCTGGCTTCCACCACAAGGAGCTAGGAGATGGGAAGTGGGGAGGTCTGTGGGCGTGCAGTCCAGCAGAGGATGGCCGATTCCCACAGGCACAAACATCACAGTGAATGTCCCCCACCCCCACCCCATCCCAGCCGCACCTCTGCAGGCCATGCCTGACTCCAGCCACTGACCCGTGGCAGACCCTGGGCAAAGCCCGTTGCTCTGACACTCCTCTCCCTCAGGCCAGAGCATGTTCTCTCGGCACCCTGGGGGTCCCCAGGCTGGTCCCCACACGCTCCAGCCAGAAACATTGGAAGGGACACACGGGAAGGAGGCCACGTCCTGGGGCTGGGCCCAGATGTCTGGACCTGGAGGGGAGCTGTGCTACTGTGGCCCTACTGCATGGTAGGGCAGTAGTGGGTGGAGATGGGGTTCCCCCCCCCGCCACCCTCACCCGCCACCCGCCACACACACCACAGGGGCAACCGAGAAGCATCACCTCCGAAAGAATCCACCATGATTTCGTCCTCTGTTTCTTCAGTTCTGGAACTCTCCATGGGGCTCCCTCCGGCCAAGGGTGGGAGGGAGGCTGGGGATGGCAGGGGCAGGCCAGGCTGCAGGGGTGTGTCCTGCGGGAGGGGAGCCGGGATGATGGTGGGGCAGTGCTGCACCGACAGCTCTCAGGCTGGGGTTGAACACGATTTGCATGATTTAAGAAAAAAATTAAAAACAGTCCAGAGCTGTTGGCTCCAGGACTTCATCGTCTTGGGTCCTGGGGTCCCGTGCCTAGAGGGTCTCCATGCATGCACGCCAGGGTCCTCCATGGAGCCCAGCATGGCTGCCGGCTGGCTTCTGTCTTCAGGCTGGACTCTCCACGTGTAAGAACCCAGAAACACTGTGCGGTCATGGGCTGTGCTCTCACTGGACATGGCCAGTGGACACAGCCCCCTCCCAATGGCCTACTGGCTAACGATCACCTCAAAGACCAGGGATCTGCTTTATTGGGGTCTGTGGGCCGAGGGCGAAGGGTACAGGGAGCCGGGAGGAGCCGGTGACCTCACGGCTCAGTGCTGCGTGCAGCTGGGCATTTGTCTCCACTCCGCCACATGCCACACGAACACATGGGCCCTG